TTGGGATTTGGGAATCCCAAACCCTTCACATTTCCAGGAAGTCAGAGGTCAGAAATCAGAGCAAGTTTAGAGCTACGTCTGTTTACCTGATTGCAAACTGCACAAGATAACAAGTCCCTTAGTTACAAAGAACTGGAGCGTACAGGTGACAAGCAGAGCAGGAGAAATGTGTCCCTGGACTTCAAACAAAGCAACACTTCAGTCACAATGACAACACATCATTACCCATTATAACTGCACTTGCTGACTCTCAGTTTTCCTTTGTATCCTTTGGAAAACGTGTGATCTGTAACACTTCTCAGTTCATTTAAAACAATACAGAGTACACATTGCTCTTTCCCATGTGACTGATACCACGATCTCTGGTACAAATGAGCATCTTCCATACGTCACATACTTCGAAGAACTGGCTAGTTTCTGGATTTATAAGATGAAACACTCCCAAACGTTACAACACTGGTGGTCATTTGTAAATGTAATGCAAAGCTGTATACTACTTTATGTTTCATTACACAGAATCCTACATTCATGTGGAGGAATAACTATAAGGAGCACTGACAGTAGATTAAAGCTTTTAACTTATAGAAATGATTTGTTTTTTGATTGATCAATCAATGGTCAACTTTCAGTTTGAAGGATTTGTGGACACTGTCACATTTTTTTTATAAATTTGAAATAGTCTTAGAGTTTGAGGACTTGCTCAGTCAAGCAGCTGGCATGGGCACAGTCAATAACTGTATTATAAAAGGGACTGAGCTTTTGCAGCCTAAATAGCCAAGTTTTAAGCTACTGACCTCAGCTGCAAGACATGCTCCTTATAATCATCCTCCAGTCTCTAAATTCAGAGAGCATGATTTTTCTAGTTAATATCAAATTACTGGAACAAAACAAATGTCGAGCAAAGGTGGAAAACTGTGGAAAGTTGGTCAGTGAGTTAGCTCAGCAACTGCAGCAGCTCAAACTAGTCCTGCGAGTATAGTTACTAAATTAAAAAGCATCTAGATGCAAATATAAGATCCAGAGAAAGTAAAGCTACCCGTACCTGTGTTTAGAGCAGATTAGCCAACACATCTGATAGATGAATAAAGTCATCTACCATGAAAACTCACCGACTGTGGTCAGGTATTCTGAATGTAACGACTGTCTGCTTTCATTTGTTTTACATTATAAGTTTTGTGCTGTACGCTCAATCTGAAAGGATCATCTACTGAAATTTTGTCGGACACAGACTAAAGGACTAATTAACATCTGTACTTCTGGCGTTACCCATTACAGTTTAGTGGTGTAGTAGTAATGCTGGTGTATGCAACAGATTTTACCTGGGCAGGCAACCCAAGTGGCATATTTGGCAGCTAATCGATTGTGTGGTTTTGTTGTTGTACTCTTAAAAAAATAAATCTGTCAGAGAATGAAACTATTTGTGGTCAGTTTACAAAGAGACAGCGCTTTTGCTTTTATTTTGAAAGTTTCATTGTCTAGCAGTCCTAAGTATAATTCAAGAGCAGATCTTGTCTTATGTTAAGACTTGAACTAGAACCCAGAACCTGCATCGGGGGAGAACCGATCCCTGCACCTTATCAAAACTACGAAGCAGAACATGACCGCTGTGGCCGGCTGCAGTCGGGGTTCGTTCTCGTTTCACTGGAGAGGCAGCTAAATATATCGCGCCATTTATTCATCACAAAGTAATTTGCAAATAAAATATTTCCAGGAAGCTTTATTCCCTCCCACCCTTGGGAACAAAGAGTTTGTGTTTTTGTGGAATAGGATATTCACAGAAACCAAAATTAGACGTTTACATTTTATGCTTTTTGAAACTGACCTCTGAATGACAACAAAAGACTAATTGGAAACTCACTGACAGAATGACAAAGATGTATATTGAACCCAGTCTCCAACCCTGAATGACAGATGAGGTGTTCAAGCCTATTTTAATAATCTGCCACAAACACTGTAAAAGCTTTTCAGTTGTAGGTCACAAGACTTTGTTTGAAAAAAATTAATTACTTGCCACGTAACAGAACTGTAGTTGTGTGAAGTTAATGGCCTGTCCAAGAGTGCTCTGAGAGAGGGATCAAAGCCGAGTCAACATGTTTCTACCCAGACAGACTGGATGCCAAAACAGAGCGAGAAAAGACAGGGAAAAACACAAACTGGGGGTACAGAGTTCAGAGAACTGAAATTTAAGGAATTTGAAACTGATTGGAGTGCAGGACTTGGCCAGGAGACAGCAGCAGGGATTGGTTATGACAACAGGAAATATGAACAGCTGGAACGTGTGGAGCTGCTGTCTTCTCAGAGACGCATCACACAAAAAGTGACTGCATCAAACCCTACACTAGCACAAAATGATCACAAATGAGTGAAAATTAAATAATGAAAGGACAAACACCTCTTAAAAATCTTACAGTTCGAGAGACACACAAGCTAAAGCCATTAAAATGACCATACTAAACCGTGTCAATAAAACCTCCAGATGAAGATTTGATTTATTGCAGGGTTCCTGGATCCAACTGCATTAGGCTTACATTAGTATCATTTAGTATTAGTATCATTTCTAGCCATTCATTTAGTAAGAACTGAGCCAGTGAACTCAGCTCAACCTTCTGACTACGTAAGACCTGAAGGACAATTTCACAAGGAAAACAATTTCCCTTCTTCCTCCCATAAACCACTCACAGCCTTCTGTATTTCTAGTCCATTGTTAGCCTAAATCGCTGCCGTAAGATCAACAGATTGAATCCATCAGAGTTGGCAGTTCGTCTTGTAATCGGAAGGTTGCCGGTTCGAGCCACGGCTCGGACAGTCTTGGTCGTTGTGTCCTTGGGCAAGACACTTCACCTACTGCCTACTGGTGATGGCCAGAGGGGCCGATGGCGCGATATGGCAGCCTCGCTTCTGTCAGTCTGTGGCTACAACTGCAGCTTGCCTCCACCAGTGTGTGAATGTGAGAGTGAATGAATAGTGTATTGTAAAAGTGCTTTGAGGGTCTCGAAAAGCGCTATATAAATCCAATCCATCATCATCATCATCTTGCATAATATAATAAGGAAAACAAAATGACAGTGAGTATAATTTACACATTCATCTGTGTAGCACTCAGTCCCTGACACCTATTTCCTAACTACCTGGTGCGTCATGAAAAGACTGTAAATAAAAGCTGGACATAGCCACTGCAAAAATCACTCATTGTGTTTGGAATCTGCAGTTAGACGTCTCAACATCAGCATTTTCACCATTTTGGAGCCAGAAGGGTCCATATTTAGTTATCAGCTAACGCTAGCAAGATGCATCCATAAATTGTGTAGATGCAACACAAAGCAGTGCACCAGCTAGTAGAAGGTGAGCTACTATAGCAAAGAGGACGCTAAGATCAAAGGGTTACCATCTTTTGTTGAGTTCTTTTTATTATGTGGCCTCCTATTTCACATAAGCCTAGTTTGTTAGTATAAGAGGAAAAGAGACCCAGAAAGCAGCCTTGGTCCTGCTCCCCCCCCCTTACATTATTGCCATTAGGACAAAAACAGACAAATTTGCACAAGAGACATGAGACAGCTAACAAGGAGACACAATAATGTGTGTGTGCAGTTCAGACTTGTCCCATAGTAAGAAGTCGTTTTAGATTTTCATTTTATTCTTTACTCTCACTCAGCAGACGCTTTCTGAAGAACTAAAGAAACATACAAAGTCATTGCTGCTCACGCTGCTAAATGCCTTTCACAGGGACAATATCTTATAGGCACATCAGTTAAGCCCACATCTGAAAACAACACACCCATACTTAACCTACAGATAAGGAGCTCAAAGGGGGGCCAAAATCTTCGTCAGCTACATATTTGGTATCCCCCTGGGTGGCAGACACAGTGAAGTGGGTCATTATGTAAAAGTACAGGATACAGGCAAAAAGGTATTTGTGCATTTGTGCAAGTAGACCTGCAAGTGTAAAATGAGTTAAATTAAGCAAAAGGTTTATATTGTTAAGCTCCTTAACAAAGACACATGGAGATACTGGAGATTCTGCTGCAACTTGGATCATGTGATCTGCCATTGGGTAAGTCATACATGTCATTTTAAATGTACACCAAGCAACAACTCTGAGGCCTATAAAATTAAGCCAGAAGTGCCAAAAACATTCAATCCTAGAATGGCCACTTGAGGCTTTTCAAGTGCCCACCTCCAAAGCTGAAAAAATAAAGCAAAAGCTGTGATTCTTCTTCACTTTTTTAATTAGACAAAAGCCTAACACTACAACTATTATGCTAGCGTATGTACTTTATTAGACAACTCTTCCTGTTAACCATTTTATCATAGAAAATGGGGGGAAAACTATAAAGCAATTAAACAAAGGAATAAAGAACCAAGCAAATGTTATGATGATGTAACAGATTTACTGATATTCGTGCACACTAATTAAAGGGTTAAAAGGGTTCAATTTAAATCTGTGCTCTCAACAAGCGCTGTCCTACTGTATGCAGAGCTATCAACACACACACTTAAAAATTAGTAGCAGTCCATTTACCCTGTGCAACATTAAGTTGTACTGAATCATCTCCCACTGTTTGAGTTTCTGGCAGAAAAACTAATCCATCTTTTATGTACAGTCTGTGATTTCTATCTGCAATTTCACAACCTTCCAAGGACAACCACAGGAAGAACAATGAGGTTGACACGTATCCTAGCACACAGTCGACAGCTCTCAGGTTCCAACTGTGATCTTGAGCATGTGCGTTCTGTCAGTCAGACCTATAACTGTACAGGACAACACCTGACCCCTCACTGCCATGTTTGCATTCCTCACCTACATGAAGCCCACAGACGTCAGGGGATACATGATTACACAATCCTGTGTTGCAGCAAGTTTGATTGACAATGAGTAAATTAACAAGAATGTATTCTAAAAGAATATATCAAAACAATTGTTACTTATCATCACACAAAAAATTATTGAGCTTGTTCCAACACAGAATAGTTTTACCAGATTTACTAAAAGAGAGACTCACCTGTAAGAAAAGTGTGTTACATTTTCAGGTTTATAACGGCACATCTGAAACTACTGCTTCCTGTTGCATCTCAGAACTTCTTACGTTCCCCAGTGTCCTCCTTAAGTATTGTATTTTAATACTGTCCAGGCCACACGAGTCAGAGATACTAAGAACTGTGTTTCTTGAGATATCATACACACGCTTATCACAGCTTAAGAATTTCACTTCTATAAGTTACCACAATGAAACCAATAGTGAGCATAAAGCAGAGGGGCCACATGAGGAACTGGGACTACTGTGGAGCGCCATACAAAGAAGCTGAACTCAGTCCTGCTCAATAATAATTGCATCTCTACACATTTATTCATGCATTTTTGGCCCATTTGACAAATTTTGTTGCCCTTCCAGCTCCAAGGATACAGCTGAACCTTTACAGCATAACTTCCATGATGGTAAAGTTCAGTCATATAGCATTTCAAGTTTCACAGAAACTGCTGCCGACTGAAACAAATACAGAGTTACAAACTGAAAGCAGGATAACAAAGTGCCACGAAAAAAGTAAAGAATCATATAGGAGTCCAGCAGACTGTTAGGCTCAGAGGATTGTGTCACCATATTGATTGATTTTTCAGGAAGTCTCAGTGAATTTAAAAAAAAAAAAAAACAACAAAAAACCCAGATATACTGACCAAAAGCATTCAGGAAAAAAAACATGAATACAATCGGACCCATCATTGTTCCCTCTTCTCCTTACAGATGAAAAAAGGAACTACGTAAGGAAGAAAAAGGAAGTAAGATTTGCATCCAGTCTGGCTCATCACATGTAAATAAGGCAGCTGAAAGCTCCAAATATCCAAAATTCAAATGCATGCAAATCCCTCCAGATTCATATGTACAGAAAAAGCAAAGTCACAAAGCAAAATCAGATAACACCTGCTCTCAAACTCAGGCCGATGGGTTAGTGCCATCGTCGCACTTTGCAAACTACTAACAGACCAAAACACAGAAAATGTTTTTGCAAAAAACTGTAAAGATTTAGACTTCAAGTCAGGAGCGAAAAATCTCTGAAAAACGCAAATAACTATTTTCTAAACTCTTTAAAAAGATGCACAGAGATATTTTAAAGGAAATTTTTTTCAAGCCACCTAAAATCTTACAAAGGTAGACTGGGTCTGCATGTGAATGAAGCACTGAGATAATACCCAGCAGCAGTAACCAACTACTACATAAACCACATGATTTACTTGTTTACTTTTACTTCAGTGTTTCAGTACAAAAGAGCCGATTCTTTAGAGCTGATTAAAACTCAAAAGCTGTTATTCAGTGTTAACATGTTAAATTTTGTACATACCATGAAGTGAAGAATGACACATGGTCCGAGAACTCTGAATGAGTTCTGCTCTTCAGACTTAACAGGGATATATATCAAGACCACGATAACAAAGTCTGTATTCAACAGCCAGTCAATTTTCAGAGTTTAATTTGAAGAGCTGAAATTTCCTTTTAGGGATTTACTATACCACAATGGGTTTGTTTCTGTACATACAATCTACTAATAAGGGCATCGTGTTGTTAGTCCTCTTTGGTACAAAGGTTGCACCGAACAACAGGGGAGTGTTCGAACACTCAGTAAACAGCAATAAAACTAATCTGACTGTAAAAGGAAAGTCTTAGCGACCTAAATTGCCTAAATTGGTATTGCTGAGACCAGAAGCATCGCAACATGTTCTGTGACATCAGGTGCTTTATTGACAAGGAACAACACAAAGGTGGCCGAAGGTAGTAGCAGGAAACGGCCCTTTGTTATGAGTGTTTTCCAGTCTTATGGGACGACTGAAAGCCTTTTTCACCATGCAAACAATTCAGCTTCAGCTAATCTTCTTCATCTTCCTCCTCCTCCTCCTATCTTCTAAAAGAATGACTGTAAATGAGATCAGCAGCAATTATTCCTCGGTGTGGAATCTTACACAGATACTTGATCAATTTACATGATGGAACATGTCAGAAATATGCCCAGCAGCAGAAGCGCCAACAATAGCAGGGAGTTTACAGAGTGTAAACTGTAGTATTTATACAGCACTTGTCTCAAAAGGGGAAACCCTGTGATGTGCTGAGCTAAGTGAGTTCAGCTGGTAAACCTGCATTCACGTGGATGTTGATGATTGCACAAGCTTTGTGTCAGACCAGGTGGCAGTGTAATTCAGCGTGCATCACAACAGCAAAACTTGCTCAAGAACTGCGTGAAAACCAAAAAGATCTCAATCTGATCAACACTGTGAGATGTGCTGGAAAAACAACTCTATGCAAGTCCCACCTCGCAACTGAAGCTGCGCTCAACACTCAACTGCTATCTGAAGAAGACACATCTAATGAATGTTTTCACAGACTGCAGCAGATTGTGCTCTTTGATAATCACAGAGCACTAACGACTGATATAGTCCACTACAGAAGCACAGAAGGTCTGAAGTGTGACGCTTACATGGAAGTGCCTCCAAACCTGCATTCTTTTTAGTGGCCAGCAGGGGGCGACTCCAAAAAAGACTTCAGAAGAAGTCTGAGAAACGGCCGTTTCTCTGGCTCACTTAGTTAACCCTTTCCTGATAAGTTTAAGGGCCAAATCAACGGTTTTAAGTAATTAAAGAATCATGAATGCGTGCCATTTTGTAAATTGTGGACACAGAAAGGAAGATTAACCAGCTAACAATGTGTCAGACATCTTAGCCAATGTGGGCTGTACTTGGTTTCTCAGGAACCGCCTCAGGCTTGTGCCGTCTTGTTCAAAACACCAAAAACCAACAGCTTAAATCAAGTGGGTGGCTTCAAGTTGGCCATGTCCATCACAACACAAGACAACATAACACTGGAAATTCTGCCGGTGGACAATCCCACAAATAAAGAGAGCAAATACGTAATGTCACAACCTGAATTTACCATGTTGTGAAAAGGTTTCAAAATAATGAGTTTCTTTGCATTGGTCGGGGGGGCATCAAGTAATCGCACATGGAGAATTAAAAATCCATTTCCCAACACAAGCCTGCTTCAAGTAAAACTTTAGCTGCTAAAAAATAAACAGAAGCGCTTTCAAGTAAATTAGTACACACAAGTAAGTCAAACGTTTTAGTGTCAAAAGTTGGGAACCAAAGAACATTTATACATTTACCATAATATTACTTTTGTTATTTGTACACCAAATAATAGTATATTTGTGGAATTTCCTGCCTTCTTATTGGGTTGGAACCATCAGTTGTGTTGTGGAGAAGTCAGGTTGGTACACAGCCAACAGCCCTATCTGACAACTGTTAGAATTCATATTATGGCGAGAACCAATCAGCTAAGTAAAGAGAAACGACAGTCCATCATTACTTTAAGAACTGAAGGTCAGTCAGTCAGAAAATTACTCAAACCTTGTCCCCAAGTGCAGTTGCAAAAACCATCAAGCACTATGACAGAACTGGCTCACACGAGGACCGATCCAGGAAAGGAAGACCCAGAGTCCCCTCTGCTGCTGAGGATAAATTCAGAGTCACCAGCCTCAGAAATCACAAGCTAACAGCACCTCAGATTAGAGCCCAGATAAATGCCACACAGAGCTCCAGTAGCAGACACATCTCTACATCAACTGTTCAGAGGAGACTTTATGGTCAAATAGCTGCTAAGAAACCAAGACTAAGGAAAAGCACCAAGCAGAGGAGATTTGTTTGGGCCAAGAAACACAAGGAATCGACATTAGAACAATAGAAATCTGTGCTTTAGTCTGATGAGTCCAAATTTGAGATCTTTTGTTCCACCTGCTGTGTCTTTGTGTGACACAGAAAAGGTGACCGGATGGTCTCTACATGCATCGTTCCCATCGTGAAGCATGGAGAAGGTGTGATGGCGTAGAGGTGCTTTGCTGGTGACGCTGTTGGGGATTTATTCAAAATTGAAGGCTACCACCACAGCATCCTGCAGTGACATGCAAACCACCCCATCTGGTTTGCGTTTAGTTGGACCATCATTTAACTTTGAGGAGGACAATGACCTGAAACACACCTCCAGGCTGTGTGCGGGCTATTTGACCAAGAAGGAGACTGATGAGGTGCTGAACCAGATAGCCTGGCCTCCACAGTCACCCGACCCAAACCCAGATTATTTGGGATGAGATGGACCACAGAGTGAAGGCGAAAGGGCCAACAAGTGCTCAGCATCTCTGGAAACTCCTTCAAGACTGTTGGAAAACCATTTCAGGTTTTTTTAGGACCTCATGAAGCTCATCAAGAGAATGCCAAGAGTGTGCAAAGCAGTAATCAAAGCAAAGGGTGGCAATTTTCAAGAATATAAAGCATGTTTTGAGTTATTTCACACTTTTTTGTTTACTGCATAATTCCATGTGCGTTGATTCATAGTTTTGATGCCTTCAGTGAGAATCTACAATGTAAATAGTTGTGAAAATAAATAAATAAACCATTAAATGAGAAGGTGTGTCTAAACTTCGGACTGGTAGTGTACATGTTTAGCCTGATCAAAATGTGCAAACACAGAGATTCTGTTCAGTTTACTTCTTAAAAACATTTAGCAAAATGTCTCTTCCTGTGTTTGTTCATCTTCTCCTGGGCAACACCAACTGCACTGACTCTCAGTTGTAAAGATGTTTTTCAGAAGTCTTAAGAAGAGATGACTTGCTTTGATTGTTCTTAAGAATTAAGACTGGAAGCGCTACACACAGTGCATGACTTTATTTCCCAACTGTTAACACAGACTGGGCTCGATCAGTCGTCACATCCAAATCGCATTCGCAATCGGCCCGACAGTCGTTAAATGTGCGCCCAGCTTTAGAGGACTTAAAGGATCTACTGCTAATGTCTCGGTGCCTGATACCACAGGAGACCATCAGAGAGCTTGCTGAAAGCTGTTATTGCACGAAGGGGACCCACGCAACTTTAAGGAGGTGGTAATATTAAAAGAGTGCTGTACATCACAAATGAATGAAAAAATGTCATAAACTGAAATGTTGCCTATCCATGCCACTTATCCTTCCAACTATTATTGCACAATTAGCTCACAAGTAGAGCATCACAGATGAGTCGCATCTTAGTGGCGAGTCGAGCCTGATTCAGTCCCAAAGGCTACTGCAAATTGGCTTCAATGCCATATGTTTGTTTGTACTGAGCAAGGCTTTAATTGGTTCGTGTGAGCCCTGAAATCAAACCCTTAATCCTCACGGGATTAACACCGCACACTGTTGAGGTTTAAGGCTTGATTATGTCCACAACTTGCAGGCAGTTGTGACATTAAATGCCAGACAGTATGTTCATACTTAAAAGGAAGTGAATGACAAGCTTTCAGTAAATTATTTGCAAGGGTCCAACATCAAAGCATCTGTAGACATGATAACGCTGCAGTAAATACTCATTTCTACATATTTTAAATGGGTCTACAGTAAATTTAAGACCACAGCTTATGTAAGGATTTAGACCCATGTGTCCTGCAGAGGTATAAGATTTTGCAGGCTAAGAATTAGACCTGTGGACTGCTGCTGTACAGTAGCCCTGCCAAACTTAGCTCTGTGTTATAAGGCAACTCGAACCTCAAGAACCACACAGCTCTGAACTTTGACTGGAAATAAGATAAGATGCTTTGGAGCTACAAAAAAATAAATAAATAAAGGCATGAAGGTGAAAAAAGTGAAGCAGTTACCACCAATATCAGTCCAAACCTACAAGCTGCAGGCTATATTCTTTAGTAATCTTAAATATCATGCGCTTAACCAATTTAAGTTCTCAGCATAACCTTAGAAAAACCCTCTGACACACTCAAACTAAACTTGGCCTCTCTCATTTGATAGCAGCACCTCTGGTCAGCCAGTGACAGTGACGCCCGGCTCCCTGGTGTATTTTTGTCTCGCTGCCCCCCGTAGCTGATATGTGCAGTGGCACCCCCTTATAAGTCAAATGTTCATTCCAGGAAGTGAACGCTTGTGCAACAGCTTTTTTCCTTTCCCCACTGGCATCAGGGGGAAAAGGAAACACCAGTTTAAAAAGGGCTGAGATTAACATCTGAAGGGTTGGCATCAGGATGTGAAGATGAAAGTCTATGGAAAAAAAAACTTCCACAGACTGTTACTGTCACATTTAGGTCAGTTAGGATTTACTGAAAGAAAAGGAATCTCTGCCAAGGCCATAAAAAGGGAATCTAAACAACAAATGACAAATTTCACTGCCACCAATTAAAGGACAAAAGGTTAAAGGTTTTATTTTTTTAAATCTCCCAGTAGGCCAAGGGCAAAACCAGCATTCATGTATAATAGTGCTTCACACTATGAAGCCTAATACAGTGGAATTGGACTCCCAGTGTAGGACAAGAGACAGCTGACAACCATAACAGCAACCTGTCCAGCAAACCAACCAGAGGGGCAACACGAGAGGGAAAGGGTGGGGAAAAGAAGCAAGTGGATTGTCCACTAATAATTTAAAAAGGATAAAATGTTAAACCTGGAAACGTGGAGCATGCTCGTTGGAGCAAAAGGATACACAGAGAATGCATGAGTAACATTAAACGCTCATTTAGTTTGTTGGTAACAGATTTGAGTCAGCTGCTGTGGGCAGTACAGAGTGTGGAAATGCTGAATTTAAAATTTGGTTTCCTTGCTCAGCAAACAAAAACACCAACAACAAATAAAATCTGGAAGATTCAGAACAAATACCAAATAATAATTTGCCTCGTCTATACACAGGTTTGTTTGTTTTGTTTTTTAACGTTTACCCACCACTTGTGACAGACCCAGCCAACGATATTGGTAAATGTTATCTTATCTGCCGCCAAGCCAATATCAGTCAGCAAAGCCAACAACATGAAAGCACTTCGAGTGTTCAACTGAGTACAAAGACACTATATTAAGTACCAGTCTACCTCACCATCAGCTAATTTATCAGTGCATTTTCCACTTAATGTTGCCACTGGGATGTCTCTACAACTTGGTGTGGTTGCAGACGGGTCCGTGGTTCCTACTGATGTGACAATCTCAACTCCTGCTGTGGAGTTTGTTTCATTTCACCTGAAATCAACTCTTTTCTGAAGTTCTGCACAGGAGCACAGCCAACAACAAATATTTTCCTCCCTGCAATTACTCGTGTTCAGAACAGTCATTTAGGACTTATCTAATTCCTGCATCTCTGACTTTTTAGGCCTCCATGGTGACCAAGCTGCTTCTGACCAACACTCACATTAAAAGCTGTAAGCTACTTGCAATAGGTGCTACTAACAGCGTACGAAAAGTTGGCTCCCAGCTTTGTTTTTCTCCTCAAGTCCAACAACTGAGAACAGTCTCTTCACACCATGGCGTGGTTATGTAAAAATGAAGCGCGTAAATCTTTATTGTAATGACACTAATCCAGTTTTGTTTTGTTTTTAGAAGAAGAATAAACTGAGTGTAATTCTGTCCAACTACTGAAACATTAATCCACAACAACTGGGCGGTTCTCAAATGAAACTAGTCATCGGTGCCTGATTGAATTTCACATCTCAGAGGACAGAAGGAAAAACACCTCACTACTTAAAAAAAGTTTCAATGCACCTACACTTGTTGGAAACTTCAGCAAATTAGTAAACCTCTTTCCTGTATGTCTGATGGGAGAAGTTTGCATAGGTTAGTCTCCACTATAGAAACTTCTCTGCTTTCAACAATATAAAGCCTTGCAAAGGCTCTTGCTCAAACTCAGTTGTAAAACCTCAAATGTAATGTCTTTATGGCTATAAATAATTGCAAGAACAGAGAGAAAAAAGATAAAGATAATAAACGACATAAATACGGCATTTAATTGATGTATGGAAATTGTGTTGATTCATATAAATGCATTCAAATGTTAAAGAGCAGTTCTGTAACAGGCCACGCACATTATTCACCGGTCTCACGTAATATTTATTTTCTCGACAGATTTCAAAATAAAAGTTTAACTTCTTCCTTTTTTCAGATTCTCGGTGATTCGAGCTTGTTCTTGTCATGCCACCTGTTGCGCGCTTGCAACGTGTTAAGTTGCAGCAAATGCTAAATAATTTACCAACAGCAGCAACAGCAAAGCCTCATAAATGAGGGGGCTCAAGATCCGACTTGTCAGCAAAGTCACCAAAATATAAACCCGTGTTAACCTGCCATCCCCGTATGTGTGTCTGTGGGTGTGTGGTAATAGTGTGGGACTGTTGCTAAATAAAAAAATGAACGGAAGTTACTTACCAGCACCTTTAAGGTATTAAACACAGTAAGGAAGACTGTGTGGGGTGAAAGTTAAACATACGAGGCGTTTAAAACCAGCATTCGTGATTAGAGCTCAGTGGTGCGTTCGCTGTCAGATACTCACACCGGAGACTCCATGAAGCCCAGCGGCCGGTGAAATGTCAGAGGTCCCGCCGCAGTCCTCCACGGCTAACAACGCTCAGCTTTCGGCCGTGGAGACGCGGCTTTATGTACTCCGTGGGCGGTTAACAGTGCAGCGCGTCCGTGTCTGCAACCTGCTCCTCACAGCAGAGTCACCGTATCAGCACCGATCCCCGCGACGAGCGTCTAGTTAAGAGCGAGACTACAGCGCGAGGTTAGCACTTCCGGTTACTGCCCCCCCGCCCCGAGGCACACTAAAACCTCAACTAGGCAACTTGGAAAGAGATTCATTACACAGAAGTGTGAAGTTCACTGTTACACTCCGAATTTAAAAGGTTTAAAAATAAACATTCAATACCTTCAACAACTTGTGACGATGTGAGCTCCACTTTATTATAACATAATATGAAAATACTGCAGGGTCCTCCTAATGAAGAAAATACTTTTGTCTTTTTATGCAAATGTACTGTTTATAAGATTGGGGAAACCTGCAGCCGGCTGAGACTGAAGAAGTCACTTGGATGAGTGATAAAAAGTTTCTCCCACTGAAAACGCTACGTCCGGATGAACAGAAATAAACTTTTGGAGACTTTTTTCTTTTGTGTGCAATATCTTCTGCCACAGTCTGTCTGAGCTGGGTTTAAAAACATATATGAAATTACATTCTTGTTTCAATTTGCATCACATATGGAAATAAATGGTTGAATGGTCTGCTACTGGCACGTTTCTACTCAGTTTGACCAAATCAAATACAAATTCAAGTCTCATTTACCCAATAATACACACATTCATACAGGGCTTTTATCTAACA